TGACAATTGAGTAAAAGCCAAATAAAATTTTTTTTTTTTTACTAGTTCTTATGTTGACAATTTGATTATTCGATTAACATGGAGAAAATGTGATATATATATATACATATATATATAGTGGTTGGTCGAATAGGAAACAAAATTTAGATCGCTAATAATATATAATAAGAGTCTCGTGGACGGCAAGGTATAATTTAGAAAAGATCATGTGTGTCATAGAATTTTCATACACGAGACTTTTAAAGCATAATTTGTACTTAAAAGTTATTTTAAAATAAGTTTTACGTCCTAGAAAAGCAAGTTTGATTAGATAAAATGTAAATTTGAAAATCATATTAACACGATCAAACATGAAAGATTTACGGAACATATTAACCAGTAAAAATCGATTTTTTGAAGACAAAAAAGGGGGTGTCGGGTGGGGTCGGGTGGGGGTGCGCTTTATCATTTTAGGTCATATTTGATAACCATTATTTGATTTTTTTTTTTTTACGTACTCATTTTTAATCACACAATAAAATATTTTGAATGTAAATCTAAATTTATTTTCTACTTTTTAACCACACATTCTTCTAAAAATCTTATTCAAAATATTATTTTTATTAATGTTGTTAGTCATTACGACTCGAAGGACATGTACGCTCAATTTTCTAAGCTCATTAATTGGTCAAAGGAATTGTCTACTTGTACATAATAATATGTACATCAAAGTGTTCATCCTCTCATATGAGGGTGGGACCCACTTAAATAAAAAATATTATCTCCAAGTGGACCCCACCCCCATGTGAGGGGGTGGACACCTTGATGTACATATTATTATGTACAAGCAGCAATGCTCTTGGTCAAAACACATTGGCAAGGTAAAATGGTCAGCACGCAACACGAGCCAAGGGTAGAAATGGTATTTCAGCGAGGCGTGAATGATGTGTGGTCAAGCTAATTGCATTTATTTAAATTCTCAATTTCAGTATCAAACTCTCATAATAATGTCATTTTAATCAGAACCAAACGGGGAATAAAAAGTAGGTGAGTCATTAAAGAACAATCAATGCTATGGAGACATTCATGTTTATCAACTTGACTGACAGCCTATTTATTTCACGAAAAGAAAGCAGCTAAGTTTAGTTGTTTAGATAGTTATTTCTAGAAGATCATAAGTTATAAAATATTGCTATCTAGCACCATAAATGTTAAAACACCAATTTATGTGGCATTATATAATAGTCTCAATTAAAGGTAGAATTATATTTATTGTTGACCTTGATTTCTACATGAGTGACGTGGCCAACAGATTGCTACTTCACTCATGTTTACGTAGCTAAGCTCCTGCAAACTTAGACAAATTGTTAGTAGCACATGACCTTTTCCGAAGATAGAGGAGGCGATCACGTACACTCCGACGGTCAACTTGTATAATATATTTGGGTGCAGGATGTGCTCAAGACATGAGCCACGAGAGTGTAGTATCGATGTTCTATAGAGAGTAAAATGAGAGAGCAATGTTACTTAGAGTATGTAAAATTGTATTATCTTCGAATGGTGCTAAATGTGAGTTTTTATAGTGGAAGAGACGAAGTAGTTACCTTTGGATGAATTAACACGTGGTTTCATTTGAACGGTTGAATCGCCTTATCATAAGCGTTTCCTCATCAATCGTAAGCTTAGACGCATTTAATGAGATTCTGAAAAGGTAGTCACCCTATTGCCTAAGTGGGTGTTCGGCACCCATTCTTTTGAAAAATGAGTTTTTGAATAGTGATTGATGTAAAAAATGTGTGGTTAAAAAGTAAGAAAAATTTTTGGGTTTATGTATAATATTATTTTATTTGGAGAATGTGTGGTTAGAAATGAGTACTGTAGAAAAATGAGAATGAGATAAAAAATAGGTGTCAAACGGGGGCTAAGCCTGATATTTGAAAAGTAAATTGACAAGTTGATGGAGTATCTGCTATAGAGGTCACAACAATCAATTAGTGGGGGATCTCGTACGAAAGATCTTCTGGACATGGTAAAGCCACGGTTTGACAAGGTAGGATGTTGACATGGAG